TTTTTTTTTTGTTTCATTTTCATCAAGCAGAAAATTAATCAGCCCAAATGCGCTGCAGAGTCGAGGTTAGCGTCCTGTAATTAGGGAGCGCGTGCCACCCGGATTATCTCGTTAATTTATCAAGAAAAAAACATTTATTATAATTAATTCTTGGACAGGGTAATTATTATTGAACGGGTGAGGAGCAACTGGTAGACGAAGGTCTGTGCAAAATAAAGTGACAGATTGGCCCGGTTAGCCGTTAGATATAAAACGTGCAATCGTGGCCTCTTGCACTCAGGCGATCTCCGCTCCTACCAGTTCCAGCTCTGCAGGTATGAACCTCCGATTTTTATTCACAAACTGGAACTGAATGGAATTGTGGGTGGGACAAAACTGGGGACTTTCGGAAATCTTAAAATTAATACTCCTGGGATGAAAAAAAAAAGTGTTTCCTGTTTAATGTCGTATCTACCTGAACTGTAACTGAATACAGAACTAGTCTTATTGCTTGGCTTTAAATGTCCTGGGAGAAATTAGACAATCGTATGTATATTAATTATATAGTCGTATTTTTGCGTCATCTTTGTTCATATTTATTTTAGATTTCAATTATGTTTTGGCGTCTTCAATCCATTTGCCTTTTCGAATATTTTGACACCAAATCTATTTTTTTATAACGTGCGGGATAATTGCAAATTAAATTAACGATTTCACGCACACATATACTTGTATGTTAGCACTAAGTGTTACTGACTTCTTAAGAAAAAGGGTTGTTCGTCCGAGGTGAGTAAAGGAGTTTAGTTTATCTGGACTTTTGTGGGCTGTATTCCTCTTACCTTTACAGTGTAGGTATGGTGTTGCATTCATGGAGTATACAAGAGGCCCAGAAAAAAAAAGGTTAATTATATCCAAGGAAAAAAGGTTAATATTATTTTTAGTGTATTGTTTAACTGAACTTTGGGACAAGTTTCCTTTGAGGAAACGTGTGGTTTAAGATTTTATAGTCGCCATTTTGAAGATTCTCAGTGGCTCCGGGAAACTTGTAAAACACAAAAGTGATGATATCATGGGAGGGATCAGATAATATTATTACAAAAATCTGTCTTAGCAGCACTTGAGAAAGCTGATTGTTGCCGCGAGGGGTTGTTATCCAGTACGCCGTGGTTCCTGAAAAGTTCTAAAAAGTTGATAATTAATCTATTGCACTGGCATCGTGTACGGTGACAGTTATTCTGAGTTTTCTTAAAAGCTGAATTGTGTCAAGGGTTTTTTTTTCTGTGCAGCAGTTTTGTAATTATGTGGTGTAATGTAATTATATATTATTTCAATGCGGGTATGATTCCTGGAATTCTTTTTTTGTAAAAAAAATCAATGTTATTTCTTGTTATCAACTAAGGTTATACAGCTCCCCATACAACCAAGGTGGATGTTAAGATTTTTCCAAAATCGTTACCCAGTTCGCAAGTTGTAGTCGGTTTTAACGCCGTAAATGAGCCAAGAGGTGCTGTGAAAGCGCGTAAAGAATGAGTTTGTAATTGAAAGTTGATTGTTTGTTTAACGCAAGTCTCTTTAAACACTTCTAATCAACACCTGTCGATTGCCTAATAAACTTCTTTTGAAATCTTCAAAATGAAATTACCGGAGGCGTTAATTAGTTGGAAATGACGAAGAGTAAAAAAAAAAGACAGCAGCATGTCTAGTGGAACTGCAGAGTGAGAGAGTTGCTCAAGTTTCTGGTTATTTGCTGAAGTACTGGTGTTTCACATTTTAATGACATCCTATTTAAATTGACAGCGATTTCTATTATGTAGACAAAGCCCGCAGATATAATTAAAACGAAGAAGCGGTGCTAGCTTAATGGCTACAAAATGGGGAGCGAAGAGTTTTCTTCATTGTTTCTTTGTTTCTCGCCAACGGGGCTTTTGTTATCAGCATTATTTATCTGGCCAACACCGGCCTTTGTCTCTCCAAATGGCCCCCAATCAAGTCTACGTTGGAAACAATTAGCTGGTCCGAACCTATGGGTCCCTATGCAAATTGTGCTCCTTGTTGCTGCCCAGTGTGTCTGCATTTGAACGAATGTGTTTTGTTCTCCGAGAAGGCGTGCTGCAATTATGGGGTGTAGCTTGCTTTTTTTTTTTTTTGGGACACGTTTGTCAGGCAAGAGCATCACTCAGTTCACTGGGACAGCTGGGGGTCCAGGGCCGCTTTAAGAGCACAGTGCGAGCAGGACGGCGCTCATTCTGAACTTAGCGCCAGCAGCTACAGGAACAGCGAGCCCATCCCGCAAAGAAGCCGAAATCAGAGCAGCCCCTTCGGCTCACACGCAGCCTCCGCGCTTCTGTTTCTGATTTGTCGGGCAGGTACTCACCTCTCGCCAGCCGAGGGCCAGAAAGAACCAGCGAGGACTCCGAGGGGCCTTCTGCTTGCTTTTCGCCATTTTTGCCAATTTGTCCCTCCGAACCAACTTTAGCATGATGTCGTATCTCAAGCAACCACCTTACACAGTCAATGGGCTGAGTCTAACTACCTCTGGGATGGATCTCCTCCATCCGTCCGTAGGATACCCAGGTAAGCGCGCTCACTCTTCGATTCGCTATCAGGGTGCGGGGTTTTTACTTTTTTTTAATTTAGGGAACCATTTTTTTCTGCTTCTAAAAGGAATGTAATTTTTTTAAATTGTTTACGAAACGAAGCGGCGAATTTCTAAAATGTCGTCGTTGTTGTTGTTTGTTTCTTAATGGACTGATTTTTCAGTTTTATATTCAGGTAAAAAATATTTGTACTCGAGATCCACCCCCCAAAAATACACAGTGGATAAATGTAAAAAGTGTTTGGTTCTCTTTTAAACTTGATAGGACATTAATAATTTGGCAATTGAGTAGAATGATATAACAAGGCCACATTGTATTTGTAGAAACTCTATGACCAGAGTTTTTTTTTAATGTAGCTTATTTTTCACCTAACGCCGAAGGCGTTAACATTTAACTACTTAATAATAATGTAGTAACAGAAACGTACATTTCTTACCGATTTTCTACAATTTTAAATAACCCTTTAGGAAAATTGAAATTACATTCATCTTTTAATTGCGCATATGCATTTGTGTGTTGGGGTATGAGCGTATAAAATACGCATGTTTATTAACGATAGTGTAATTATATATGATTTAAACAGTGTTTAAATATGAATTACCTTGTGATGACTATGTCGAAGCTCAGCAAAAAAAACAACTTTTCGGATTTTAACAAAATTCACAATTTATCTGCACACTTTTGTGGCTATTGGTAAATTCCCAAATTATTTAAGCATCACGCCCGGCCTCAATCTACATGCACTCGAATGTATTTTATTCATCTGCAGCAACGCCTCGGAAACAGAGACGGGAGCGGACTACTTTCACCCGCGCACAGCTCGACGTCTTGGAAGCCCTTTTCGCCAAGACTCGCTACCCGGATATATTCATGCGCGAGGAGGTGGCTCTGAAGATCAACCTGCCCGAGTCTCGTGTACAGGTGAGCAGGATCACCGCGAGAGCACAGGGGGGTGATCCCGCCACGGTCCGTGACAAACTCCCCCTCCCCTCCATTTTTCCCTTAGCAGCCTCTGGGGAGAATTTCAGAGACGCTTTTAATGTGAACCCTATATCCCCCTTCAGAATAAACCCAGTCTTGTACAGTGTGTGTGTGTTTTTCAATTGATTGCTCTAATCGCCGTGAACAGGGGCTCTCACACAAAATTTAATTTAAAAGCAGAGACGTGGCTTAAGAGGGTGATTTTAAAGTCGAACAGGGACACTCTCAAGTTGCGAGAGGTAGCTGAAGCAAACGAGTCATGAAACGTGTGATTATTGCTATTAGTAATACTTTATTGTTGTCCATAATATCTTAATTCGTTTGTGATCTAGCACACCTTGAGTTTAGCATTCAGGACGCACTCGATTTAACAGCGCTATATGAACAGGATTAGGATAATTATTAAGGGGGTCACAAGAAATGCCACTTATGTTTTAGACAGTTTAATCAATCGTGGCACCACTTCCTCTGTCATTATTTTGTATTTTCACTCTATTTGCGTGCACGTTGGTTCCCCTGTTCACTCGCCAGTTCTGTGACCGATGCGCTGCTGTGTCGTAGGTTTGGTTTAAGAACAGGAGGGCGAAGTGCCGCCAGCAGCAGCAACAGCAGCAGAACGGGGGCCAGAACAAGGTCAGGCCGGCCAAGAAGAAGAGTTCCCCCGCCCGAGAGGCCAGCTCCGAGAGCGGGGCGAGCGGCCAGTTCACGCCGCCTTCTAGTACCTCCGTCCCGGCCATCTCCAGCAGCAGCGCGCCGGTGTCCATCTGGAGCCCGGCTTCTATTTCTCCCCTCTCCGACCCACTGTCTACCTCCTCCTCCTGCATGCAGAGGTCCTACCCGATGACCTACACGCAGGCGTCAGGATACAGCCAGGGCTACGCCGGATCTACTTCCTATTTTGGCGGGATGGACTGCGGGTCGTATCTTACTCCGATGCACCACCAGCTACCCGGGCCTGGATCCACCCTGAGCCCCATGAGCACCAACGCGGTGACCAGCCACCTCAACCAGTCCCCGGCGTCTCTCTCTGCCCAGGGCTACGGGGCATCGGGGCTAGGATTCAACTCGGCGGCAGACTGCTTGGATTATAAAGACCAAGCGGCCTCCTGGAAGCTGAACTTCAATACTGATTGCTTGGATTACAAAGATCAGACCTCGTCTTGGAAGTTCCAAGTTTTGTGAAAGAGAACGTTGAGGCTGGACAGTTCCAACAATAACACGTAACGATAATGACCATCTAGTCCTGCCATCTTCCACTAGACATGCGAGTAAGAGACTGGACATTTCTGAGATGTTTCGGATTGAGGACGGGGTATTGATGGATCCCTTCACCGCCCTGCTCACTCTTTGACCATAACACGGAGAAAAACTCTGGCCATGAACTTTTTTTTTTCTATTCTTGTTAACCTCGCAGGGCGCAAACAGACGACCGTCTCCTTGTCCGCGTGTATGTGTGTGCGTGCGTCTGTCTGCGAAAGGGACACCTGTTGGTTCAGGCGAAGGAAAACGCTGAGCGAACTCTTCTTCTTCGCCACCTTGATCAATGCCACGGAACAAATCGTTATCCCAGAGAGAAAAAAAAAACAGTAAGAAGAGCCAATCTTGGTTAAGTGCTTGGAATGGGCAGGCTTTCCTTAAGCTTCTTAAAACTTGCCGACCTGCTTCCCTGTTGGCAAGCCAGAGACCCTTTGATTCGGGGTGGTGTGTGGACTGCGCGCCCCCGCGGCGATCTGGATGCACTATTTTATTTAAGAAAAAAAAATCATGTTTATAAGGAATCAATATGTAGTTTTTAAGAGACAATCAGTGTGTGTCTTATATAAATGGTACATATGTGTTTTTTATCTGTGCTAGCCTTCGAAACTGTGATCTGTTGTATTGTATGCAATTTGTGAGCGCCTTCGCACCAGCGAAACCGCTCTGCTGTGATTTGAATAGGTTTATAACTTTTTTTCTGAGCGAAAAAAGTATTAATAATGATAAAATAATAAAAAAAAGATTAATTAAAGAAATCCCAGACTGCCCAAAACCTAAAACACGAGAGGGTCGGTGTTCGGGGAAAAAAATAAAAGGAAAACTTTCACCCATCTCCCTATTTCATCCCGCAATCTAACAACACCGTGAGCCCTAGGATACAGCTTGTGGGGTGTCGTGTGAGCCGTCAGTGCACCGAAACAGTGGACAGTAATTAAGGTCATGTCATCTGACCCCTCGTACAATAACTATTTAATTAAAACTGGAATTTTTTGTGTGTTTGCAAATGTTGATAGAATATTATATATAAGTATATATGCATAAACGTCAGCCTTGAATTTCGCACACATGTATGACTACATTAAAGTCGTTCTAGCACAAATCCAGTTGTCTTCCGCTCTTCCTGAGTTTAGCCCGCGGCGCTGAAAAGAAATAAAGATTCAAAGTGGAAAATAATTATCTACAATTATCTGGTGTTTTGGGATGGAGTGTAACACGATTAAGTGGCCTGTACTATTAAAGATAGATCTTTATTACATTTTAAAAGGGTGCTTTCGCTGTTACAGTAATTTTTTGAGGTTTGCTGGTACTCGGAGGTCAGGGTAATTCCCATAACAGCAAAGAGGAAGGTGACAGCTTTTCCTGACCAAAAATAACAATTTAATGAATAAATGAGGAAGAAAGGCACGATTTCCTGAAAGAAACCGTCCTTGGTCTGGTCACTTTATAGACTTCCACGATTTTTGTTAATGGTAAATAAATGATTAGCTCTCCTCTGGGGCGCTTTCATAGTAGTTTCACCTGGTTTAACGCGACGACCAAATGAGTTTAGTTCTGGTTATATGTTCAATAATGATGAAAAAAAACATCGCTTTTCATAAAACTATAAAACAAATATTTGTAGTAAACAGACACCTTTTTATTTAGAAATTAAACGGACAATAGAGTCCTTGAAAGAATTCGGATTGTTTTCTCAGTGGATAAGTTTTTAAAAAATAGAAGAGAGGCGAACATTAGAGAAATCGAGTTGGATCAGGTATCCGCTTTAGAGGAGGCGAGAAAGAAGCATTTGCTTTGTGTAGTTGTACACATCTGTGCTGCGCAGGGGCTGACAGTAAAATTGCACTGTGGGCGCCGGTCCTTTTCTTCACAACATGTCAAGTGCTCAGAACCTGCTTCGGCGGCATTTTTATTTAAGGAAAAGTAAAGGACATTCTTCTCTTCACTGGGCGGCTGCAGTGTAACCCGAATCTGTTGGGAATCCGTGCAGAAATGCTCTATTCACAAAAGCCGGTCTTTGGAATTCCAAACCTGTAATTTGTACTTTTTTTTAAGGAAGAAAAACCATACAACTGTCCACTAAGTTCGTTTTCTGAATGGAAAACTATGTTAATAGTGCAGCCCCGGAAGCCAGGGACGGGGAAGTTATCCCCGGGTTTTTTTGAGCTTAGTAATACAAAAAAAAACACCATCGACTATGAGGAAATGTAACACATAGGCGAGCCGAGCGAACCTCAGCTCAGAATTTTTCTTTTGCTTTCAAACTATGACTCTTCAGCCGAAAGAGCAGTTTTCCTCGCTAAAAAGTTATTTTGGTGACAGTAGTACAGCCTTCGCGCCTTGTCGCGCCGACCGCTTCGGCTCTTGTCCTTGGCGTCAAATGAGTCCCGCTTGGATTTCCTTTCTGACGGTGTATTTTGTTTAATAAATACGAACGTGATTCATAAACATTTTTAATGTGCACCCTGGTTTTCGAGGGGAAACCTACCCATGAAAAACCGGTTGGCAAAGCTATTACATTTACACTGGTTTGCGCTCACGACTCGAGTTAAAAGAGTTAAGAACTGAAGAGCATGTCCCCTCCAGTACTTGGAAAGAAAGATCTTCAAATTCTATTATTATGTTTTTGATAGTCGTATGATTGCTAATTTATTAGCTATTTCATTAGTAATAGCATCATAGTGTTACCGGAGAGAAAAAAAAAACACATCCATCTAGCAGGCGCGTCAACGAGCACTCAGTCTTAACGTTGATCTGTTATTGACATTACTCTGTCATTATTGCGGTAGTGACAACGCAACTTATGATGTGAAAAATAAATTGTTTCCAGTGTCTCTCTCTCTCCTGAAAGTTTCCCCAATAAGAATTGGAGGCATGGGAAAGCCGTGTTAATCCTCAAAGAAAAGATAATCCCGATATTTCACTGGCGGGGGTTTCTTCGGGGTTCGGGGCAGTCGCTGTCCAATTCATACACCCCGCCGCCGTCCCTGAGGGCTCGGCAAGAAATCTTTCACAGGGCAAAATATTCTCTGCCCCCCGAATTTAATTACGCAGCGGGAACCTAACGTTTCTGTTCGCGAAATAATATAAACAACACCTTGCTTTCGATTTTCGTTCGTACACCATTCTTTCATAAAGACGACGATACAATTTCTCCGTCTGCGCGTTAGTGTTACAATTCTGCGGAGAGAAACTCGAATTCTTTAAAACACCTGTAAGAACTCCTCTCCGTCTACCGAGGGCTAATTCGTTTGCGTTAGCTTAACACGAACCCTGCGCCAGGAAGGAAAAACCTACATAATATCTTAGATCAGAAAACTTTTTTTCTTTAATCAGATCTCAGCCCCTTCGGCTGCCTCTTTGTGCAACGAGGTTTTGCCAGGTCCTAAAAAGACGTGTTATAGTGCAAAGTTGGAAGCTGCTTTTAATGCTTTGGGATACAATCCGATTTGTAAGAGAGGCAGACCTACCATGTTAACGCGAACAATCGGTACCCCGGAGCCTTCTTCAACATAAAGCGGGAACTTAACAGAACTAAAATCGGATAAAGTAAATAGATGGGGACAGACAAAAAGGTTTACTGTCGGCTCCTCGGGTCGAATCAAAAGGTTTGACTCTGAGTACGCGGCGTAATTGTGAGTCGTCTGAATGAAGTAAAGTCAGTGGCAGTCGGATCTTTAATTAGTTTCCATGCTTCTCCTGTAATTGTTAGAAGTCGGACTTTCAATTAGCATCCTTGACATTGCCAGTAATCTTCCTTTCACTCGGTCCTTACTAAAGGAAACACACTAATTAAAACACTAGCTTGAAATAATCGAAACATTTAAAGAACTTGGCTAATGAGAATCTTTTTGATTTTTTTTTTCCTTGTGGCTGGCGGGGTGTGTAGGGGGGCAAAGCAGCAAAATTTTCCTTCACTGCGATGAGGACAATAGCTGTTAAGATTTCCTCTGACAAATCTTTTATATGTCTGTACGTGAATATCAGCTCACGTCTTTAACCCATTCGCTACTTTTCTGAGGAAAGAATATTCACCATTTATTTTTTCCACTGATGCTCGCCGAATGGTTTAATTGACCGTTTTCGTCAGCCTCCAAAAAAGTATTTCTACAAACAGAAGGCATGTTGTCACTATTAGCATATCCATGTTGTTTTGGATATATAATATATAATTCTTGTTTGTTGTTCGACGATAAAACAAAGGTGTATTATAATGATGATTTTCTTCCTTACCTGATTGATAATTACAATAAATTAAATAAAACCAATCACAACGACACAATTCAGTTTTATCAATCAAAAGAAAAACAATAATATTTAAATGTTCAAATGACTTTAAGAAGTATACTACACACTACTTTTATCTTCGATTATAAAGCGGCGCTTGTTGTTCCACAACACAAAAATCCGCTGCGGTTGAAGGGCTTCTGGGTGTTACCTGGACGAGACCTCACCTGTCAATGAAGTGTTGACAATTAATTTAATCAGACGGAGACCCTTCCTGTCCGTTGTCTGCGCGCTGCAGGGATTATACACTTGAGGACAAGGTCAGTTAAAACAGAGCAGTGTATCGATCTGCTGCGTGAACACGCACAGAGACTCAAAGAGGGATTCATTTTTTTTTTTTAACGGAACTCGTTTAACGAGTTCTGGAGAAGACCAAGCCAAGTGGGAACTCTTTTCACTTCCAAAACTTCATTTTATATTATTCGATCTGGAGGGAATAAATACTCTCTCCTCATATGTATGTCTTGGCTGTGGAGAAATTTAGCCTTGGCCCATCGGCTTGTGTGATGTGCTCTGTACAGCAATAGTTTTCCTTAAAAAATGACCTCTAATTTACAGAATGGTGTGCTGTTATACGGATGTCTTACATTGCTTAACAACACATTCCCCGCGTTTTAATCCATCCCCTTACTTGATAGTTAATTTAAACTAAGTAGGTTCACGTTCGTAAGAAATAGCAGGTAGCACACTCTTCGAATGTATATCAACAAGAGCCCAAACATGTAGATACATGTAAAAAGTAAAATTATTCTTTGTCAAAAAAGGGGAAAGTTTGAATTGTTCCATAAAGACGCACCCTGAAGACAAATTAAAATATTTTAATTATTGTCAGCATCTTGAGTACAGAGTACAAAAACTAACGGTTTTATTTAATCTCTCACAGAAGTTTTCCGCAAGCCTGCACTGTATGAATTTATCATTTAAGGACGTCGATGTATCACAATTTGCAACAGATTCTTGGGGGAAAATAAATATAAACATAGGATTATCACATGGAAAAAATGAATTATTAATAATATTTTTTAGGACGATAATTATTGCACGCTCGAAAATATTTTTCACTTAATGGGGCGCCTCTTATTTTGGTAAACATGATTTTCCATCTTCCGATATCTCCCTCACTGTTTGCTTCCAGAAAGAAAATGATCGCTTTGTTTACATTCAGTAAAACTCCACATTAGCCAAATTAAATGGGTTCAAAAATTCCCTGCTGTACGCAATGACGAGCAGATGAATTTCTCCACTGGTTACTCTACAGTTTAAACAGAGATAAGGAAGAGAGCGTCTCATTGGGAAAAAAAAACTGTTAATCCACCGAAATTGAAATGCCTTTTCCCATTCCCTTCAATTTTTTTAACAAAAATAGTTTTGCATAACACGTCCACATAGTTACAGAGCGTGCTGGGTGAAAATCTAAGTTTTAATTGCGCATACCTAGGTGAGTGAATATGCCAGAATCGACGAAGCCCCGATAACCCCTTTTTTTCCTGCGCCCCCCAACAAGCCATGATATACTGTAAACTCTAAAATAAAAAAAAAGCTAAGAGAGTCAGAAATATCGCTACAAGCTACAAAAAGAGCTGCGAGCAGGCTACACGAGCGATGCTTGTGGGTAACACATTAAACAACACCTCTTAATTGTTCATCATTGTCGTTTCCGTTTTTCGTTTCCGATTGAAAAGCATTCGGCAGAAACACTTGAACGCCGTTTCAAGTCCTTAAACAGAATGTGTGTTGAACTATTAAAAGTTTAGTTTCACCCCGTAGAAGGAACGAGAAACCACGACTGCCCTGCATATCAGCTTTGCGAAGTTCAATCTGCATTTCTTTGAGAGACCGTTGTTACAAACGCAGCAGGCAGCTTAGTTACTGAAGCGGAATACCCAGCC